TAAATTGGTGCATTTAAAAAAAAATGACTTAAATCAAGTATTATTCTATTTTTTTAAATGATGAAATGTGTTAAAATTAATGATTAAGATAATCTGTAATGCTATTAAAAATATTTCAATCACTGAAATCAAAAAATAAATAATTAAACAAATAAATAATAAAAACTTTTCAAAAAGGTAAAATTGTTTAAAATATTTTTAAAAAGCCATGTTAGTTACAATGCAATAAAGCATATCACTTCCATCTCAATCTAATCTCAAGCATTAAATTTAATGATGAGTACCCAAATTACACTGGACATATTATATTTTGTGAAATACACTGGATAATAATGTTTCAGACTTGATCCTTACAGATTTACTGAACAATTAGCATCCAACAATGATCAGTGGTGACTTCAATAGTAAGCATATGGAATGGGGTACAGAAATTCCAATTGCAATAGCAGTACAATTTACAACTACATCATAATAATCTATCTTGTCATCCCCCATTCCTGAGGAAACTACATATCACCCCAGTATCTCAAATTGCAGGCATGAAATCCTAGATTTCTTCATAAGCACAATTAACATCCCTCTCACCACGGAAGTGATCGATAACTTAGCATCTGATCACATGCCAATGACTGCCTGGCTTGATGTAAGCAAATTATGAGATATTCTCACAAAGAAAGTCACTGACTGGGACTAGGTTTGGAATTTTGCCTTCAACAGACTCAAAACTGCTGAAGAAATGATGCAAATTATTAATTCAACACTCAGAAAACCTCTGGGTATGGATGAAGTCACCAATAATATGCTGGAAAATCTTGCTCCAAACTGCATAGCATATCTCAGTAGTATTTTCTATGCATGCCTGTAGAATGCTTGTTTCCCAGACTCCTGGAAATAGGTAGCCATATTCATGATTCTGAAACCACTAAAAGCTTCAAAATCTACATACCAATCAGCCTATTTTCTGTATTAAGAAAATTACTTGAGAAAATCATATACTCCAAAATAAAACTCTATCTTCAAGACATTATTTATGGTTTTCGTAAAGATTTCTTCACCACCAAGCAGCTTATTCGAATTTGTGAATGTATAGGCTGAGCTATAAGCTCAGGGTTGCTCTCTTCATGCTAGATGTGGCCAAAGCTTTTCACTGCATCTGACATAATGGCCTCATCTATTAATTAATTAAGATGCATTTACCTAGAGGATACATCTTTATCCTCAAGTCATTTCTGACTAACAGAAGCTTTGCTGTCAAACAAGGCCTACTCTCATACACTTATCAATGAAGGAGTCCCAGAGGGATCCTTATTCTGAACATTTCTGCATATTATATGACTTCCCCAAGTCAAAACATGCTGCTAGTATGTTATGCTGATGATACAGCTATTTTAGCTAAGTCAGGGATTTCAAATTATGCTATGAAAAGGTTGAAAAATATGACCCCCCCAGCACTAACAAACATTTGTACTCCAAATGGAAAACTTTGATACAGAGAGATAAATTAAAAATATTTATCATTCATAAGCACAAACAACAGCAACCAATCGCAAATCAACTGCTTTATTTGGCAAGTAATTCTGATTGTTTCTGCCATAAAATACCTTGGAGTTACCTTGTACTTTACAGTACTTTTACATGAAATCACCACATTATCAAATCAAAGACAAGATGTCCCCAATTATATACTAAAATATAATTCTCTTCTTGCAAGCATCTCATAACTTAGTCTTGCCAGGAAAAAAAAAATCACACAGCCTTCATTAGACCTATATTTATCTATGCACTGCCCAGATGCTATAGTAGTTAGGGGAACCTGACTGCAATACCATAGGGCCCGGATCTGAATCCTGGAGAAGGCATGGATGTAAAAGTGTCTGTCCCATAGGAGGTAACGGTAGCCACCTATTAGGTGCCTCCATAACAATATGGTCACCACTTCTGGCCTTGTAGTGGCCAATGCCGTTATAGGCAAATGCCCGCCATTTGTAACAAAAAAAAATATTTGTCTATGCTTCACCAGCCTGGGCAAACACCACCAACAATGAAATTAAAAAAACTACACATTTTACATAATAAGTTCCTTAGAGTAATTACATGTGCATACTTGATCTGGAATGTTGTACTTCCGTCAGAACTCAATATGGACACAGTGAAAGACTACTTCAATAAAGCAACCAAAAATTTCTTCCAATATGCAATAAACTGCTGCATTGTAAATTTTGCCAGCAACTTTGATTATGGAATATTGCAAAAATACCAGATTGTAAGACCTGACTCTTTAAATAAAATTAACCTCAGCAATATTTTTGTGAATTTTGTTTTAAGCATTATTTCATGCACTTTGCTGAATTCTTATGTGTTTCTTTACAGTGTGCTGGTTCTTCAATTTATGCACAGTGTGTGTGTTTTCACAATTTACTATCTGGAATGGAAACAGGATACAAAGGACTTTTTCCCTTCTCTGACACTGAAACATGCCAGCTAAACAGTCAAAGCATGATACTCCTAATGGTGGACTTTGAGATCAGAAGTTCCATCCCCGTCCAAAAGTAGAATATCTTTTCCATCAAATCCATCAGTTTATACCATTAAAAGTATGTATGTATAAACTTCTCAACTCCTAATTTTTTAAGATGCTCATTCGATATTCCACATTATTTATTTTCTTTATATTATTAATTATTTTCTTTAATTTGTATACTCATGTTTCATATGAAGAAAATATGATATAAATATAGATAGAATTATTTGACAGAAATATGCTGAAATAACTGCATTATATGACTACTCTCCTCCTTGAAGTCATCACAAAAAATCTGCAGAGGATGAAGTGTCTCACACATTATTCATATTTTATCGCCATCTTTGAAAAGTACAAATAAAGAGTTTTCATTTCTTCAGGTCCCACTGGGTTATTGGAACCACAGGTTATTGAAAAGCACTATAGCAGAAATCCAATTAAAATTACACACATCCAAGTACTGCAGAATTTTTTTTTTTTTTTTTTCCCCTAACAAAGAGGGACCTGTGCCTGATTGACCTTGAAATTAATAGAATCTTGATCGAATTCTTGGCCAAACATAAGGTTGCTGTATTGCCTAATTTTTAGAGGAAAATCTTTCTCAAACATTCACAATTATCAAAATTTTATTTAACAGCAGAACGAAGGGGAGACTTAACAGAATTTAACATACTTTGAAACAATAATAGAAATAAAAGTAAAATAAGACAACTCTCACAAAAATAAGACAAATGATAAAATGTTTCCGTACATTGTTTATTACATTCTTCAAATGCAGATGAATTTAAATGTAAATTTTTGTAAAACAAATATAGTTTAAAGCCATGCTTGAAAATTAACTTCAGATTTATTCTACTTATTAGGGGAGATTCAGTAATCCATTGAAAATTTTTTAGCCTTCAATTAAAATTTAATCCTTTCCCGCACGCTTCTCTTTTAAAGTTGGAATTTTACCAAAAAATTTTGGAGGCAGTCTATTTAGGCCTATGAGAGTATGCAGGTATAATTTTACAAAGATTGCACAAACCGTATCCATTTTGTGGGTATGTCCGAAGTGAACATACTGAGCCGCATGAGCTGTGATAGGTGAGCATTGCTGTGAAGCACGTATTACAGTAAAATACTTTGTCTATGATTTAAAACCAGTAGAAATTGACCTCTGTAGCAGATTTAGCATAACCAGGTTACCTGGGAAGGTGCTACTCTACCCCCCCCCCCCCCAAAAAAAGGGAAATAACAGGAAACTCCATTACTTCTGCCTGCTAAGGCCTCTCGAGCCATTTACACATTTAAAATTTATAGACAATAATTAAAATACTATCATATTTACAATTAATTATGACTAGAAAAGATAATTCTTATATATATACAAAAAAAATCTACAGAAATCAAACTAAGCAAACTACGCACTATGAAAGCAAGAGAAAAATGGGCCTAAGGGAAATAGCTAAGTAAAAACAAAGCACCTGCATCTTCAAAACCGAAAACAGAAAAGAAAAAGAATAAAAACAAATGTAAATATATTTGCGCTCTCAGCCTCCCCCCATATTTGAAGCATGAGACCAGATTCTGTCACTCACTCGCAGGTGACAGGCGCTACCAGTACAGTGTGTTCAGTCTGAACACACCATATACTGAAGGCTTCACTATACGCAATATTTCAAAGATAAAAATTAAAAGTAATACAGAATAGGCAGATTAGCATATGAACAACAAAATTATATAAAGATTTTTTTCATTGATATTCTTTATATTTAGAAAAAAATCTGAAACATTTCTTTGAAAAATCACTGTCTTTAAAAACAGAATATATCTCAACATTAATGATTTGCTTATGTGGTGCTGCCATCTATCATTCATAAACTAAATAAATTCATAAACTAACATAAAACACACTGCGCCAGAAAGGGTTAAACAAAACCACCTTTTTTTTATACAACACTATCGTATTGTTAATTACTTATTTATATCTTGATATGACTAATAGAACTTCCCGTACTGCCATTAGAGGCTTAACAGGGCTTAGTGGAACTATTTAATTAAATAAACATTGAGATATAAAACAAAGCCTAAATCAGCCCCATTATGCAGTAGAACTACCACCATACTACCTGAAATAACTTTAAATAGAATAAACAACTAAAATATGAACTTAAAGTCTAGAAGCTGGTGAGATTTACCAACTACACCAACAAAAACACATTATATGACACTTCATATTTTGATATATATGGTAATTAACTTATTTAAATTTTAAAATGTATTAAATTGATTGGTTGAAAACTTGTTTGTCCAATTTTTAAAAGGTATGTAAACATGTTTTACACATTTAGTAATATAATAAGAATCTGTTGTTCTTTTATAATGAGTACATAAAACATTTCTGAAAATTTTTAAAACAGATATCATATTACAAAACTACAGATAACAGAAATGTTAAATGTATCATGAAAAAAATTAAACATAAAAAATAAGTTACTTTCACTTAAATGATGACTCTCTTCAATTAACACTTCTCTTTCTTCAAAATAAAAATTTTCCATTGATAAAGTATCTGCTTCTAGATCTTTTACACTAGATATTTCTAGTTTTGGGTTTATTGCTGAACGGCATTTTCTAGTCTTTGCAGCTAAATTTTTGGCTTTCAAACCTTCATGGGGCTGCTGCTCAGATGAAACTGTATTACATTCCATTTTTGAAAGTGTAGGTTTTCGTTTTGATCGTCTTAAAGTTGGAATGTTCTCTTTTTCAGTTGATGAATTAGCTTCTGTGGCTTCTTTTAAAGAGTTTCCAACAGGATCCTAAAAATAAACAGTAATAATACACTTATTTTACATCTGTAAACTATCATCTAGCATGAGAAACACGAAATATATAAGATTTATCTATTACACTGGACTTTTAATTTTATGAATTCTTAAAATTTGCTAACACAGTCATAAAATAAACAGTTTATAAATCAGAACTGCATTAAAAAAAGCAGTTTATATTCACTTCCAACTCCATATTTTAAAAAAAAAAAAAAAAAAAAGTTTGCTTCATAATGCCAGCATCTACTTTTCAATTTTTTTCTTACCACTTATAGAAAATATTCTTTTCAATTGACATAGTTCCAAAATAAAAATATATCAAGCAAAGAGATAGCACACACTTTAGAAAATTTTGCCACAAATGAAAAATGTCTCTATTATTTTGCTGCTCAAGTGCTAGTATGCTCCGTGTCTATAAGAGAATCTGTTAATGTAAAACTTTTTGAAGAAAACAAGTTACTTTATTACTCAGTATACCCACAAACCAAGTAGAGTAAACCTTAGTCGAGTACGGATTTGTGGAATGTAATTTTGCACATGTGCGATATTTTAATAGTTTTCATTTAATTTGTATAATGCTAGAATTTGATTCATATGTTGGTCAACATTCATTTATCAATATTGAATGCTTACTGGCATCATTTGTTGCCAGAAATAATCAACAATGAAAAGGGTTAAATGATTTCCGCAACTAAAAATGTAAGAAAAGAAACCATACAGATTAAAAAAGCAATTAGTGGTGAAGAATTTTCGGTACTTTTCTGTTTTGCCGGCGCAAATCTCGCCAAGCAGACTTTGTTGGCGATAGCATATAGTATATATATAAAAAATGTTAACAAATGTTAGTTCTAAGATTTTTATTTTGAAGGCTAATATTTTAATAGGTTTTAAAATTTTGAAAAAGCCGTAAATAAAGACAATAAATTTGTAAAAAGGCATTAATTTAAAATTACTAGCTTCATGGTTCAACACCTGATTCGCCGGTCGTATCACGGACCCCAAGTGATCTCATCTCACGTAAACTACGTTACAAAAAACTATTCTGTCAGTAATTATCTACATTAATTTCAAGTTAATCTTAAGGAATAAAATTTAAATGCACGAATTATTTCAATTTGTACGAATAGTTTACTCAATTATGTAAACCGCATTGCTTTACTTTGCTATGCATTCTCATTAGAATTGATGAATTTAACACTTGATTTTGTCTTTCTAATTCGCCTTCGGTGAGCGGTGTGATTGTCATCCTAATGACTTTTACCACAAATGGTCTTAGGCAAAATTTACTATCTAGGTAACATTCTAGTATTGTATCCAGTATTGAAGAAACAATCAATCTGATAAAAATGTCTGCAACTTGTTTTGAAATGGCGTAACGGTTACCAGCGAAGATATTCGTTTGGCATCAGTTGTACCATTATTGGCGACTTTATGGTTTGCGCCGACAAAACGGAAAAGTACCGAATTTTCAGATATGAAAGAAGGAAAAGTAAAGAATTAATCAAGAAATGATAAATGAAGAACTGGGTGATCTTCTAACACCAATGCAGTGATAATGTAGAAAAAGAATTAATTAAGCTTTAATTTATTAGAAGTTAATTTGCTAAAAAGGACACAAGGTCAAGCTGATTTGCAATGGAGATAGATGCAAATGAAGAAAAGAAAGGACACTTAACCCCTTCCCATGCTTTCATGAGTCTGACTCGTGATGAAGATTTTGTCCCAAACATAAACATCACAAGCCTGGCTTGTGAACAGAAAACCAGGCCAAACATAAACAATACGAGCCAGGCTCGTGAACATTAACATAGTAATTTCAGTAATTTCACGGTCATAATCGAACATTAGTTCATATCAGTACACAGCAAGAGTTAGTCGCGATTCTCATAATTGCTGTTACAAAGTAGTTTAGTTAGTAAAATTCAATAAACCCTACAAAATACAAAAGATTTAAGTGAAAGCAGTTTATTAAAGTTTACTTCCACTAAGGATTAAAGTTTACTTACTTGAAGTGTTGTTTATTTATGAAATATAATTTTGAAACTGCTATTTGTTACAAAATATAATATATAATATCTACAAAAGTCAGAAGGATTAAAGTTTACTTCCATGTCAGCAGTGTCATGCAAAACTGACTATAACACAGGCATTTGTATTTTGGCTCATACTGTGATCGTTCTTAAGCATCAGTTTGGCTTGTTTACCACGCGTTGACCCACAACACTTGGGCCCAAATTTCATCAAGGTAAATGGCACGAGAAGCGATTAATAAGAGGCACTGAAAAACTGTGCTGTTTGTCACAAAACTTTTAGATTTGCATTAGTCACTCTCCAAAGCAAAATTCATCAGCTTAAAAAAATAATTTTATCACATACTTATAAAGCAGTAATAAAAATTCTTTCGATTAACATTTGTTTTGTTTTTCCCTTTTAATTACAACAGTACTTAAGTTTAATTAAATTATACATAATTTCTTAATCAAAATAATACCTAGATTTTCCCTATAGAAAATTAATTTGCAGAATACGATTTTATTCAAGGCATTAATGACATAAGCCCTGCGTTTGACAAGGGTTTACTGTAATCAGCTTCAAATGGCAAAGTCTTGTCCTCTTTCTTGTCTAGGAAATATGAATACTTAGAATAATTATTATTTTAAATTATAGCAAAGCAGTTAACAGTTATCTACCTAAAGGAAGGGATGTCTTCATGGAGGACTTTATAAGGTAAATGGGCTTGATTCCCATTACACATGCTTAAGATTTGACAGACCATCATTCAACTGATTTGAAGAAATTTCATTTTTTCCCTTATCAATTTAAATGTTTGAAGAGAAATAATGAAAAGAAATGGATAACGTAAATTCATAGGTAACAGATGAGTAATTTTAACTCATAAAATAGACTAGCAATTAGCATTACTTCTGTAGGCTGCTTCACAGGACGAACATGATATTCCATAAAAATAAGCAATTCCTAAATTGGAAGTTAAATAAAAAAAAAAGCTTATGGTATATTTAATTTTTGTAATCAAAAATAGTACAGATTCTGAAAGTATGCACACTTTGATAACCCCCATCAAAAGAAAAAAAAGGGGGGAGAAATAAAACACGAGTTTTGGAAAAAAAATAACAACTATAAATACAAAGTCTGAAATTCCAAAATGAGTTGATTTTAATACTAACAAACTCATTATCAGTAAAATATTATTACAAAATATATTTTATAATGGCATTTGAGAAGGTAGCTTCATACTGGTAGTGTAAACGAGAAAGACATCTTTATTAAATTAATTTACATCTATTTTACAAACAGAGACAAAAATTCAAAGCAATAATCCATTATTCTAGAAAGAGAATCTAAACAAAATTCCATGTATATCTCCACATATCACTTTATATAATTTTTGAAATCAACACAGAATACTGCTCCTTGATAAAGAAACTCATACATTTGATAATTTCTTTAAATTGTAAAGACATTTCTCTAAGGAATTTCATCTGGTTTAAAAAGCACTTCCAGACATTTAAGTATTAGACTGGTATTTTGATAATAAACCAACTGAAAACATATCAGCACAGAGAATGAGTAGCAAACTGATTTGAAAGGAGTTAAAAATAAATTTGCATATATGTATTATAATCTTCCTGAAGATTCCGTCTGTTATTTACATGAAGTTCAGGATGAATGATGCTTCCAGAATATCTAAAATATCTTGCATAGTTTGTAATGTTTATTTTATTTACAGCATTTTTGTCACTACATTAATCAGGCAAATTCAAGTTATTAATTCCCTTAATTAGTAATTTAATAGAAGGGGTCAAATAAAATATTTTCAGGTACTTGTGTATTATCGTAACCACCTTAGTAGAAGATGCCGAATTTTCAGAATTTGCCAAACTTTGATATTCATGCATTCAAACATTCTTCATACAATTAGGCTCCTAAAAAACCTTCAATCAAGCTGCGTTTCCATTTTCTTATGTAGTCATTTTCTTTCATCCCAAGTTCCAATAATTTTTAAAGACAAATCACAATATTTTTTCCTTGAGCTCCATTTTAAAATATTGCTCCTGGAATTTGCCAACAATGGAAGAAACTGCAGGAAGAAATCTGCAGGAATGCAGTACTTTACCTAAAATTGTTAAAGGAACAAAGAATGAGATGTGTTTGGTAAATAACCAGTATAGTACGCAATGCTGCGTTTGCACAATTCTGAGAAATTTTTCAGCAAAAACAGATTGCTGTGCCCATAGTGAGAAGAACAAAATTTTACAGAAAACTTACTTTTAAATATATCATAAAATCCTTATTTAATAATTAAAATTTGTATTTTAAAATTTTTGAAAAAAGTTTTTTTTTTCCTTTTGATATGTTGGTAATGTTTACCAACTTACGAGGAATATTGATAATTTTGTAGTATTTTATTAAAAAATTTGT